AATTTAAAATCGAACGTTAAGAAATAGTAAGTGATTCACGAAGGATACAAGACAACATTGGGCTTTTAGTCAACACTCAATAACTAATCTTAAACAATTTTGACGTCTAGTCAGCAAAATATACCATAGAGATACCCAATACCCCGACTCTATCGACTTTATTAGGTGTTTTCTTAGTCGCAGACTAATAGTGGTTAATTAAATAATCAAAATTTTATTAAATTATGATTCTCTTACTACCACACACGATATCTGATACTTTACATCAACATTCAAAGTAAAGCTATGATCATAATTAAGTTAAAATAACTGTAAATTAGATCATAATCTGTCAGTATATAGTTCAGTTGTGAGTGACCTGAAATTCAATGTGAGATGTAACCCCTAAGTCACGGTTAAATGCAAAGGAAGCACCTCTGAGCAAAAATTTGAATAGGTCCAGCCAAATATAACCTTGATGACCTATAATAATATGCAAAGATGTTATTTAAAAGCGAGGATGTTTTATTAATGTGCATATGACTTACTTGGTATACAAGATCTCGGTTATGTGTTCGAGCATCCTAAAACAACTGGAATAATATGTTGTGCACCCAAGTGAACGTAAATTCTGCCTTTGTATATCCCTTCACGTAGCAACTTCTTGTTGATCTTGTTCAAAGCCCTTGGTTCGGTAGAAATCGCATCCTGCTAATAGGAAACGACTACTGACTCTCGTAATTTTTATTAATGGCTGTTTAACCAGCCTGCTCTCCTGGGATCTGATATGGGGCGCGCACTTAAACGATCTAAAAAGCGTAGTAATCTGTGGTTTCAGCCAGTGAGATGTTAGTGAACAAAGATGCTCTTTCTAGTGATAACCAGATTTCGCCATTCGCATCCGCATTTTTTATTGTATCCACAGATTAAAATACACAATTAACGTTATACTTATACTCAGTGTAATGTTTCTAATAATCTCATCAACCTTTTTTGTGTTGAATGTTATGGTGAGCTTGACATGTCTAGAATTGAGCGTAAAGGAACCACAAGTTTATAAATCTTAGACTGACCCTTAAAAAACATCATTATTATGGACTTATAACTGTGTAGCTTGATGATAAAGTTATTGATAACAATTGTTTGCTCAAAAATTATTTTAGGATATTTATGTCATTCGATTGACCAAGGTTCTTATGGAACAAGGAGACCGACGTGGTTGTCCGAATTGGGTAGATAAGCGCTAAGCGGTAATATTTGGGGGCTAAAATATTGCAGATAACTTATCTATCAACTTTTATGATTGTGTTATATCCCGAAAAGTATAATGAATGGTAACTTATGGGATCCATTTGTGGACCAGTACTATACATGTGTAGTGACCTACTTTTGTCAACAAAACGCGATTGGTCCAATGAAAACAATTATTATTATAACCAATTGTACTAGTGATTGTTTTATTGTGCTCCTTTGTTTAACTGTGCTAATGACAGCCATTACACTTACTTACTCTCCCGCTGACTTTGAACTTGTACGAATTCGGTTACGCTTAGTAACCACGCTTGTACTCCTTTGGCACGATCTCGGTATTCTTTCGATACCACGAGATCGCCAACAAATACATCTCGACTACAGCCATCATCTGCCATCTGATATTGGCCTACGGGGATCGTATTGGTCTATTGGCACTTAGTCTGGTAGCGGTGTTCATAGCCAAGCTCAACTCGACACCACGCTACACATGCATTCGTATTGTATGATTGTCAAGTAACTAAACTATTCATAGTCATGCCCTGTTATTATGAGCTTTATTTCGACCTGTGGACTAATATTATACGATTTACCATTCTTGAATTATGCCCTGTCTATGAGTCACTGCCTCCCACATTCACAGCCACTTTAAGCTAATCCTTGTACAAATGTTGTTTCCTATTTTACTGGTACGATGTGGTCTGTCTGGTTGGTAATAAAAACCTAGTATGTTTGAAATGAATGATTCATATTGCAGAGGCTGAGATTGGTGTTCTGGATTTAACTTGTTGGGCTAGGCAGGAAGCAGGATCGATAAGTACTCTAGACTGCTTGTACGGGTTTTATACGCCATTGGTCCGATCCATAATTCACTGTTTCCGTAATTGGCGGTATCGTTACGTTATACATTAGCAGGACACACTGGCCACAAGTTATAAAAGTTAGCGTGGGTATCGCATTTTCTGTTTCTCTATATTGAATAGCAGAGTGTTTTAATTCAAGACCTCGAGAACCACATATTAAATGCATTATATAATAATAACCTACCAAAACCAACTAGAAATCTTTTAACTTTAAAGCTGGATACAATTTCTACAATGTCAACAGATTAAGATATTCTTCTAATTCCTGTTCATCGAAAAGAGGTCAAACAATCGTAAAATGCCTCCTGTCGCATGAAAATAAAGTAAGAAATCTGCTATTGTAATCTAATTTTCCGATTGCAAAACTCATTTGCCAAGGCCTAACACCACTGATATTTTTCGTGATGTTTAAAACAAAATTGTTGATTCGCCAAATAAAATAGTCCATTTTGAGCCATATAGAACCAGATGAGAACTAGTGAACTTGTTTCATTTTGAATTCACTATAAGCAGGGAATCAAGTATCATAGAACAAAATGAGATGGCACGCTACTATTTTATCTAAATAAGGTCAGTGTCTTGAAGTTGTTCGATTTTGACTACATGTTTCTCGACGTTATCAAGTAGTGGTTTTTTGTCACATAATGACTGGTTCAAGATTGGGAATCAGTGTGTTAAATATTTTAAGAGCCTGTTTTCACCAGAAATTATCAATTATTAAGGGAAAATAACAATTATCGGTTCGTTTTAATAAGACTAGCGAACTTGTGCTTGGTCTCAATCTATCCATCTGCTTGCAAATAGATACTCTTGCAAAAGTATGCTACGTAAAGTGAATAAACCTATGGGTAGCATTAAGGAACGAAATAAGAAAGTACGAGAACACGAATTTTCAGTTCCCCCAAAAATCATAATTGTGACTGAAATTGAGCTCTATCCTGATGTCATAGTTGTGAAAGCGAGTATTGAAGTTGTGACACACTCTAGATTTGACGGAAAACATAGTAGAGTGTGGCTTGAGGATTGTGTTATTGTTGGAAAACATATTGCTCTCTTACGGGCGAAAACTAATACATATAACGGATAATCTAGTTGTCATAATTATTACAACTTAAACATTGTGACAGCTATCAGACAGATGAAACCCAAGAATATATTGCCCCTTACTTCACGTGCAGGCAAGCGTGATGTCGAATCTGGAACTCCATCTGACAGCATCTTGCACTTTCATAGAGCCATATTTTCGCACCTTTGTGATAATTAGAAGAATTTAAATTATTGTACGAGCTATTTTTTCCAGAAATAACGAAATTTAAACCAAAGAGAACTATATAAGCACGAAGGAATGAATTGTATTTAATATTCAAAGTCAGGCAATCATCAAGTACAAAGGAATCATTAGTTTATAGCGTGGAGTCAAGTCGCGCTTGACTATGTACAATATTACAAAAAGACTACGTGCCAATTAACCAATAAGATCCCCGTAGGCCAATATCAGATGGCAGATGATGGCTGTAGTCGAGATGTATTTGTTGGCGATCTCGTGGTATCGAAAGAATACCGAGATCGTGCCAAAGGAGTACAAGCGTGGTTACTAAGCGTAACCGAATTCGTACAAGTTCAAAGTCAGCGGGAGAGTAAGTAAGTGTAATGGCTGTCATTAGCACAGTTAAACAAAGGAGCACAATAAAACAATCACTAGTACAATTGGTTATAATAATAATTGTTTCCATTGGACCAATCGCGTTCTGTTGACAAAAGTAAGTCGCTACAGGAGCCCCCAGCTAGAAAACATTTACACGTTCTATTGGAAGCGCTTTGGTTCGCGGGACTGATCGGCGAAATTGCGGTTGTCGGACGGAAGAATTGGCGAAACACGAAGCGATCGTTGATCCTCGAGTTGCCAACGAAGGTCTTTTGCGTAGAACGGTACCAGGGGAAGTGTGCTGTATTCGATGCTCGAGTTAGCATACCACACCAAAGTGGTTTGTATTAGGATCTAAAGATTGCATTCGTAGGGATGCGGACCATAAAACGCTGCAGACGTAAGACGAAACCACATTGAGCCAAGAAACCGGAAGCAAACATAATGATCAAGCCAAAACCAAGCGTATGGCAGGCAGATTCGAAACCAGATTATCGACTGAGTGTGCTGACAAGAGCGTGGGTGATCAGGCCATTGTTGCTAAATCACGATCAAATATGAGGCGACCTGACAAAGCCGTATAGTTTACTAAACACTACGGACCACCCTGATGGAAACATCTTCTCGAACCTCAACATTTCCTTTCCCCAGGAAACACACAAAGAATTTTGCGTCAACGAGTCGATGTTCATTCGAGATCACACTTCTTTTTAATAAGCACCTGACTCGCTAAGGAAGTTCTTGCAGCGAATGAGATCATGGTCTTCTCAGAAGATGGGTTCAAGAGGAAACTAGATAACCACTACCCACCGAGATCCTTATATCCTTATCACTCTTCTATATTCTGATTTAGTGACCTATGACCCTACAACAAATCAAAATGTTGTACGATAATGTGGTAACTGCCGGTCTTAGAAACACCGATGGTCTAGAATAAACACACATAAGAAATATTAACCTCCAATTGACTATCAAATTAATACGTGGCGATAGAAAAGGCCTGAATCCATACCGTAGCTTTACAAACAGACAGCGAAGATGTTGAGTGATTTATACAAGCTCGTCACAAATATATTGGATATTAGAAGGTGCAGAAATGAGCAAGTTGTTGCTAACGCGGCGAATTTGAAAAAATACATTGGGACTCATTTTAATTGTTGCTTCATTCTAATATTCTCAATTTTTAATAAGTTACAAAGTTGTTTCGAATATCAGTACGCCAGCAATATGGGACGGATAGTAACATCACTCTGACTTAGCTGATGGTAAGTGTTTACTGGTTAACAAAATATTTTATGTATATATATATATCTTTATATATATATATATATATATATATATATATATATATATAATTAGTACGATGTCGTACTAATTTTAGTATTTCTTTACGTACTTTGAGCATTAACTATTTATCTGTATACTCCCAAAGTTCTAAGTTTTTACGGGTTTAATCTACTAATCTCTTTTTTGACAATGCACATAGTCGTATCGCAGCTTTCAAGCGTTCTAAGTGTTAGATAAATTAAGCTGATAATATATATTATCAGCTTATATAAACTGGTAATTTATTTATTTAATATAAGTAGTGTGTTTTCGAAATATTATGAGCTAATTATGAATTTCATCGAGCAGTAACACCGCTTAATAATTAGACTGCACAGAGCTTTAAATAAACTAGTTTTCGAAAGATCTCTGATTCTAAATGGAATTATTTATCCTATTTTGTAATAAGGATTATAAATTTCATTAGCTGATTTAACTGATAGAATCAATCTCATGGTGCTGCATTAATCAAGCTTCATTAATGCTGCTTTTGTAATAACATGCGAATTGGATAAGTTGTCACAAACTAGTGGCTATACTAATGTGTGGACTATTTTAAAATGTTACTTTGCTGACCTTAAGAAAATTCACCTACTTATTAGTGTTAGAAGCCTTTTGAGTAGTATAAGGGACTGCAATAAGAAATGACGGTTAGACGTTTTGGTTCGGAATTAGAGTTAGGGTACTCAACACGGTGACAGCTGTAATCTTCAGAATACTGGTTAGCCATATTGAAGCGGTTCACATCTAGCTAGGAAGTGCTTTGTGTACTAGAGAAGCTTGCACAGAAGCGTGAGGGATATAAACAAGAATAAAAGAAAAGGTTGGTTGATGAATCATTAAGCGCATACGATGCACTTACATTTAATAACAAATACGATCAACATCATTTAGAAACAACACGAGTTCCAGATTAAGAGAATCCTAAAACCTTGACTAAAACCAAATAGTCTAATCCATTACAAGTATTGGTGGGCGAATTTCACTCCAAAATTCAAGGCTTCCTATCCTTAACTCTATTGCTTTACGCCCAAACAAAGCCAGACTTTTAACATTCAACTTTCAGCATGTAGTGTCTTGCCGTGACTCTGTTTTGGTAAGCTTTAATTCAAATCGTAAACCAATAATGAAGTCAAGTGAATCGCTTGTGTTAAGTTTAAACCCCCTATCTCATGATATAGCAAATACACCACTCTTTTGATTATGCTCCCATGCTTTGTGTAATTCATTTTTAGGAATTAAATAGTGATTTAGATCTAACGTTCTTCAATGATTCTGATGATGATTTTCTCAATGATGGTATATTCTCGGAGTTCACGTCTAAACACATTAGAAAGTCCTCTGGTTTCCACAAGTCATCATCCTCATTAAAAGGCATTCATTCAACAACAAAAATCAATCGTAATTCGAGTAAAGGAACATCCAGACATCGTAAGCTCCCTGGTCCAGCAGGTTTACTTCCAAAGGTAGGTCAAAACGAATTTTGTTACTTTAAATTCAGCTCCATGAACATGGGAATCGTCAGCGACCTATGATTGGGTCAAAATCACCCAAAAAGGTAACATTTCTTCTGAAGACATCCCAAATCTTTTTAGAAGAAAGCTGATACGGTATCTACTTTGACTGAAAGCTGTCTATCACCACCGTTATCTCAAAACCAATCATCTTCAAGTCAAAGTGAAGAAGCTGCTTTGTTAAACAGACTACAGTCAGAATGTGGTTCAACCATATGGTCGGTTGTTGAAAAATATTCCGTCAGAGAAATTTTAAAAATGGTTAAATTCGTTTTCATCCAATTATTTGGTATTTCAGATCACTTCTAATCAACTACCGAAAGGTAAAATCCCAATCATGTGCGGTTTTCTTGATGAAGTTGAACTAATGCCTACGGACGCAAAAGCACTGTTAAAAGACAATTCAGGTATGAAAGAATCTTTATTACACTGGTAATAAAATTTTCTAGGAGTTTTGGCTTGCACAATCCACCGTTCAGTGATAAAAGAATATAAAAACGACTTGGGTTGTTGTTCCCTACTTCTGTTGAAACAGGTCAGATTTATTATTTTAAACTTCTATTTTGTTTGTATAAGATTTCATGTATCGCATTCGTTTATTTTCTTAGAATCTAATGTCATTTTGCTGATAATAAGGAATTACATTCAAAAATTGAATTGCTAAATGCTATTTAAGACCTGTATAAGGCATGATTCACTTCAACTTATCATATTTTATCAGCATTCGCTTGTGTAGTATCGTCAATGCAAACAGAGGCAGTCTGGTTCAGAATTTTAGATATATATGCCGAATTCATATTTTCAGAATGCGACCACGTCACTTGTCACTACAGTGAGTAGTATTTTTGAGATTTTACACTCAGTAGCTATCATTTACAAAGTATACGTGTCGTTTATTAACCAAGAACTAAGTTTGACAGTCAGGTTTTTATATTATCCGGGATTAAGTGAACTAACTTTTGTCCTATAGCTACCCATTCCATAAGTAACTGTTGATTGTACTTTTTGTTGTAATATTTTCTGTTTCTATCATTTTGGCAACACAATTCTTTATCGATCCGTTTTTCTACTTCTGATACTCGTTTGCTCCTATTTGTTGTGTCCAATGGCCCGTCAAAAATATCACGTGATAAAGTCTCCAATCGGATCACCGACTTGTATGACCTTGTCTCTATGGTAAACCAATGGTGCGTAAACCAGCACAAGCAGCCTAGATTCATCTCTGAGTCCTTATTGGTCCTCTGTATAACAAATTCTCGCTTATCCCAACCCGTTCAGTCCAGAACACAAATCTCAACCTTGGCTGTGTGAATCGTTTATTTCAGATATATGTAGTGTATGTTACAAGCCGACCAGACCGCATCACATCACAAAATGAAAAATAATAATTAAACATGATTAAGCCAAACGTTCGCTGTGAGTATAGGAGACTGTAACTAATAGATTGGGAATAAATTAAGAATGGTAAATCGTATGATAATGGCCAATAATTCATATTTAAGCTTATGATAAAAGGAGTATGAGTGTATATGTAATGTAGTTACTTAATAATTGCCCAATAAGAATTTATGTAATAGAAGTCTATAAATTATTTCTAGCAGTTACTATTAATTTACTCTTGACTTGAATATAACACTTATTTTACCGTATCACTGTAATGTACACTTGGATGGATTAAACAAACCTATAAATTCATCGCCTAGATTGCTGGTGTCAGGTGGCTCGTATAAAAAATCCTTAGTTCTTTTTGGACATATTCAGTTTCTACTCATCTGTTGTGGAATTTTCTTTAGTTAGTGAATGAATATAGATTGGAATATCAGACAAATTGTATTATTCAAACTGACTTCCACGTAAGCCTTTTCTCTCCAAAAGTAAAAACCAATGAATTAGACCAGTCTAAAGTCATTAACTCTGATTTTTATACTCCAACTAGTGGTTCTAAACTATTTTAGAGGCCTCAAATCGTATGCCTTAAAGATAATTTTATTTTTGCTTCAATTCTCTCACAGCATTCTTGCCTACCACAACATTTAAAAGTTGATAACACAGTCCCATCTCGTAGAAGTGATAGAGGAAGTAGCTCAACTTGAATAAATCAATTTTGTAATTGCTGGATAGGAAATCCATGTTGGACAAAAATCTGGTTGTTTATTGGAAACTTCATAACGTCGATAAAATGTTTGAAGATGAAGATCTATCTGTAAATCATATGGATTTTGTTCGTTACCTAGAAAATATCTTCTGTACAATTGTGACATTATCTGCAATGATATGGTGGCTAAGTTTTCCTTTCTGGGATTTACAAACCTTTATTTTAACCATCATATATTAGTTTTAGACGTGGCGTATAGTACAATAGAAATTAAGCAAAATGTATTCAGCCTATTAGTGTATTTATCACCACAATTTTTATGCCTTATAAAATTCTAGGTCACTATTTTCAGTCCAACTGGCAAAAAGTTTTATGCCAATATAACTCTTCCAAATATTGTAAAAATATATACCCCCGAAAATACCATCATTACTTCAGCATCTGGTCATCATACAACAGTACCTCTTTCTTCTCCATTATCTCTTCGAGAAGTGGAAGCTTTAGAGGAAGATTGTTTAAGAGCTGTTTCACCACCTCCAACGCCAATACCACAAACAATTTCGATATCTCCCATCTTAAAACCTACGTGAGTTTTGTATGACGTCGGTCATTGAAAATCTTTTATGAATTTTGATTTCTATACATGTGTTACCAATGGATGTAATGTTTACACTAATTAAAGAGTATAACATATTTGCTGGTAAATATTTGCACATCTGATTGCAACATTGATACTGAACATGATTTCGTCTGCTTCGAAATGTTCTGAAGTTTTGAGTTTATAAATATAGGGATTTCATTCATTATACCCTGTTGTTCTGACCAAACATCATTTTATCTTGATTTGTCTCAATTTAGATCATTTTTTCCTTATGTAATATTCACCCTTCATTCTAATACTGAAAAGACTTATAAAAGAGATTATTTCATAACCGCTTTTATTGAGCTGATTATTTGCCAACAAACATTAATCTGGCCAAAATTTACTATTTATCTACATGAAATTCGGTATTGCTGTACAGTGCGTAATTATATGACCATCAAATTAACCAGATTCAACAAAATTATTCGAAGAAAAGATGGATAGCGGCTAGTAGTGGAATCTAGGATTCGCGTTTCGTTCTATTTAAGACTTCTCATCTGGATGTACCTGTATCCAAGAGTTGATGTTCACTCTGGAACTCGAACCCAGTACCGTTCGCTTCGAACTCCATCGCGTTATCGACTTAGCTACTGAGTCCTGATAGCTAAGAAACTGATCAGTTGTAGTCCTAAACGTCAATAAGAAAATTCAAGTGAACAATACCAGATGAATTTAAATTGATTCGAAGATAATATATTAAAGATCGCTGATTAATTTGATGACCAATGTTAATTAATGTTAATTACTTATTCACTAATATTGTGATAGCTAACACTAAAGCAAAAGTCATATTTGTATAGTTCTTAGTTGAATAACAGGAAATTATCGACAAATAGTGCAGAAGTAGTTTAGGAGTTTAGGCACTCGATGTTTAGCCACTAACTACTGGATTCGAATCCCTTTCCACCTACTTTGTTTTGGAGAACCGAACAGTTTTATTAGCACTCATATGGTATGTGGACTATAACCAAGTGCCTAGTAAATTAGTTATTTGTTATTCCCATTATATAAGGGCATATTAACAAGACGTTATAGGAAAATTGCAATGAAACTTTTCGTTTATCGTGTTTATCTCAAAATGTTTCGGTTTATATCGGTACCTATTTTATTTTGATCATCGATATTATACACAATCGTCTGCTTTTTTAGCATCCATGAAATGGAAAAATTTATCGCAGGAGAGTTTGTATTGTTTTTATCAGGTTGTATATGTTACAGTTGCTAGTTGGAAAAAAAAACATTAACCTAATCACCAATGGTAACTAAGAATACTCAAATGAATACTGTATTTTTATGCCCAAAATCCTCTCCTAAAAATAAAGAGGGAATAATTAAAATACTCTCTATTACATAACGATTATCACATATATAGAGAATTCTCACTATTGTTCGATAATCACTATCTAGATATTAGGTGATTGAAGTTAGTACATAGGGAAGTCTATTGTATCAAACTCTTCAACAAAATATATTTCAAATCTTTAAGAAACTGATGCCTTTTATCAGGTTTAAACCAGTATCACATAGCATTACATTTTGAAATGTTACCATTGAGTTATTCATAGGTAACATCTCAGACTAAGTTATTTAGGCAATTGGTCAATAGAATTCCTTGGTTGTTGAAAACAAAAATAAAGTTTAATTATAGTTGATTATCAATTTATAATAGGTGATGAGTATCGAGGGAGTTTTGAATACTTTGAAATTTTTATTCTAGTGAAATTTTCTATGATTTTCATGGTACAGTTGTCGAATATCTAATCAGCACTTGTGGTCTGGTGGGTGTCGAAGGGTGGCAGATCAATTGATGAAGTAGTGAGAATTCATCAGTTGAGATTGATGGGACATGTGTTACATACGCCCAACCACCGACCACCCCGACGTGCGATGTTTTATGATGTAAGAGTAGGTTGGAAGTAAGCTAGGGATGGCCAGACCAAAACGTGGCACAAATCATGAAGTCACTGACAGGTGGACTGAGTAATGTTGGTAGGTGTGGACTATCTGATTTTGATCCGTGAGACGATAGCAACCGATGGTTAGAGACGTTGAATGACACATGGCTCGAGATCGTTTGCAATGGAACAGGTCATCCACTCTTTGTGTGCTTCCAAATTCTAATCTTCTGAATTCTTCATATTCTTTTCTTTTTCTCTCTCTTTCCAAATTTATTTCACTAGATTATACACCTTGAATAGTACCTTCAAACTCTAATCTATCCGATTACTGCTTGTACTTTTACTATGGGATTTGAATCGACAATTGGATTTCGGTGCTAATGTGGTATGGCAACTCTAACTGATGTACGTACGTACGTACGTACGAAGTTCTACGTTGTTATTGACAGACTGACGGTTATTTAATGAAAATTAGCTTCAAATTTATATCTAATATCAAGATTCACAACATTATGATAACGTGTAATTAAAGGAATGTATGTAGGCTATTCGTTCTTTCGATGTCTTGAATTCCTTGTGTATTCTCTATTTGGAATCATTTTGTATTTTTTATGCATCTTTTTTGTTGTTGTTGCTAATAGCTCTTATCGGATACAACCACAAATTAATCAATCTTCATCTGGTTTAAAATCAGAATTATCAACGACAAAAAGTCTTACAACGTTACAATTACGTTCGAATGGTTTAGGTTCTTTACTGAAGTCTAATTCAATCCCAGTCAATAATAAAGTTAAACCAATCTGTGATACTACTACTACTACTACTACTACTACTACTAATAATAATAATAATAATAATAATAATAATAATAATAATTTACAGAAAAAAGATCACCAATACAATGTGAACTCAACGACTAATGTCACTTCTACGACTCATCCTACTCCTCCTACTACTACCCTACCTGATCTAGTAACAATGAAAGATGATCTTTTAGAAGATGGTAATATCCTTTTTTTTGGCTTTATTGTGGTCATCATTATTATGATGTTTAAAACTTATTAAAATCAATTTTCATTTAATGGAAAAAAGTTATAAAATTTCAGTTTTGTAAGCGTTATAACTACTTAGTGTATATTGATATGAATTTTCGGTGAGACTATACTTTATGGACGACCTTTGGGCGACGTTTAAAAGACCTTGAGAATGTCCACCTACATACCACGGTTAAGTGAGTGTTGTAAACTAGTGTGAGAAATAAGAATTAATATTTACGGTTGGTAGTTGGGCTAAGGGATTAGATTCAGGGTTTTCATCATGAACTGACATAAGCTATAATGCCAAAACTCTATTTAGCCAAATGAATGAAATTCAAAACCTGACATCGTAAATCTGATTGGTTCGTCCATAAATTATAGTCTCGCCGAATTTTCTAGCCAATTAAAAGTTAACAATATTTGCAAATTACTTTATTGTGTAGTTCACTTTTCCATACTACTCTTTGACATCAGTTCATAGAATCATTCTGATAGACTAATTGGTTGTAGTCCAATCAGTAGTTGAGGATGCTGAGTAACATTATTTTATTATTTATTTATTATTTGAACATATAAATATTGGTACAAGAGGGCATGAAATATATATGCGCCACACAAAATTTTGTGTGTGGGCTGTGATACTGCCCGGGTGCTCAGACCGAAGCAGGCGGTTTTAGGGGGCCACACCTCTAGCCTTCGACCTAAAAGCTTAATCTACAAGGCAGTGGAGCATGGTAAGGAGATGCAATCCCACGGTAGCCGGTGACCAACGATTGATTCATACGCCATTTGTTCCCGCAGGATACTGGAGCCCATGTGCACCATTGGTTTTGGATCCGGTTAAAGCGTCGGACATTCACTTTTCGTCCTCTCATTTTCGTAAACAATTCAATCACACTTGATGGCGAAACTCTCGAAAATGTGGAATCCTTCACATACCTGGGAAGCTTCATCCATGAACAAGGAGGTTCATATGCAGACGTAAAGGCGAGGATTGGCAAAGCAATGGTAGCATTCTCACAACTGAAGAACATCTGGGACTCGAAACAACTGTCAACCAATATCAAAGTCAGAATCTTCAACACGAACGTCAACACAGTTATACTCTATGGAGCTGAAACTTGGAGACCTACTACAATCACCATCAAAAAGGCACAAGTATTAATAAATAATTGTTTATGCAAGATACTCAACATCCATTGGCTGGATACCATCAGTAACAGCCTATCATGGAAGAGGACAAACCAGTTTCCAACTGAAGAGGAAATTAGGAAAAGATGATGGAAATAGATATAACGTACATAACTGCGTCACAAGACAAGCCCTAACTTTTGACGTAGCTGTATCCACATTGGTTGCTCATTGATATGTTACAATTTGCAATACAAATTGATATTCGTCGTACAATAAATGTAACAAAATGTCTTGTGAATTGCCTTGAATATGACACAATGTTATGTCCCTATTGAAAAAAGTTAATTAATGAAACAAATAAGGTTTATTTATTCAAAATGAATACATTTTTATTCAGATCCTCCTGGAGCCTCTCTTGAGTTACTGCCAGTCCCAAACCTGGTTAGAAGAGAACGCCTGGGCATGGTGTTAACAACCCCATCCCATAGAAAACTAAATCACTAACTAGGAAAAATAATTCAATTTCAAGTGTATTATTTGTTATTTCATTTATTTATAAAGATAGTTTTCAACACAAATTGGGATCAGATAAGGAAAAACATTTGAAAATCACAGTGTATTGAACAGTTATATTTTCTTTATTTATTGGAACACATAAACATTGATACAAGAAAGCACCAAATACATATGCACCACATAGTAATAGTGAGGCTAGTAGCAGTATGATTGAGGTGTGTGGACTGTGATAATGTCCGAGTGCCCAGACCAAAGCAGGTGGTCTACTTAAGAGATCACACACAGAGCCTTCGACCGAAAGGTTTAATCCACAAGGTAGTGGAGCAACGTCAGGAGATGCAGTCCCATAGTAGACGATGACCAATAATTGGTTCATACACCATTCGTACCATCAGGATCCTCGAGCCCATGTACACCACTGGTCTGAAATCAGGATTTTCTAACTCTCTAGATGGATCCTCCATAGCCACCGACCTGGTTAAAGTATCAAATATTCGCTTTTCATCCTCTCGATTTTGTAAACAACACCCCCGCTACGAGAAGGCAGTGAGTAGGGCTTGCCTGTCAGCGGTTGTATACACGTGACCATGTGAGAGCATTTGGAGAGGAAGAGCTGACTCCCCACCCCTCGGTCATATGAGAGCATTAAGGGATAACTTGACAACATGGCAACTTAATTGACAGAAATCAATCAGCACAATATCAAGTGAATTTACTTCAAATACTGGTTACAAATTAACCATCATATCACTTATTATTATTTGCTATTTAAAGACGTGAACATTGGTACAAGGAGGCACGAAATATATATGCGCCACATAAATAATTCAATTTGTCAGGGCTGAGATACTGTCCGAGTGCTCAAACCGGAACAGGTGGTCTATCTAGGGGTTCACACTCAGAGCCTTCGACCTGAAGATATGATCCACAACTCAGTAGGGCAAATTTAGAAAATGCAGTCCCCATAGTAGAGGATGACCAACAATAGATTCATATGCCTTCTATTCCCTCAGGATACTAGATTGATTTGGAATCAGGGTTTATTTTCAACTCCTCTAGATGAATCCTCCATATCCACTAACCCGATTAAAGCGTTAGATATTCACTTTTCATCCTCTAATTTTTGTAAACAACAGTAATACCATGAGAAGGTAGAAGGTATATAAAAGTGGGTATATTGTTAAAAGCGTCCCATAAACTAAAATAATATAACTATTCAACATATTCCTACATATTCATTAATACCTTCTTACTGTTCATGCTAATTCATGATAAAACTTGCATAGATCATCTATTCTATTTTTACTTTTCATTTCTTAATTATGTTTTTATTTTTAGACATGGATGATTTATTATCTAGTCTAGCTGATGAAATTCCTTAAATAATAATAAATAGATTGACACAATGTAAAACAATAAACATACAAATAAATCAAATGGTAATGTAATCTATGAAATAGATATAAATGATCTTCTCTTTAGTGTAATATACATCAAGATTGTTTCGTCTCCTCCTCCTCCTCCTCCTCCTCCTCCACCTCCTCCTTCTGCTCCTTCTTCTTCTTCTGCTCCTTCTTCTTCTTCTTCTTCTTCTTCTCCTTCTTCTTCTTGTTCTTGTTCATCGTCTTGTTCTAGATTATTAATTATTATTTGACTATTGAATGTGATGACTTTTGAACAACTTTCAAGTGATCTGAAGACTATACACCTTTATATTATATAACTAAATGAAGGTGATAAATCAATTTGAAGAATAAGGATTAATATTTACAGTTGATAATTAAGGGGGTTTTAAAAATTACATATAACGTTGTTATCATTGATCATAATAAAAAGATGAATGAATTTTTTCGCGCCAAAATTTGCTATCGTCAATTTGATTGGTTCATCTATAAATTATAGTCTTGTCAACTATTTACTATATTACGTAATTTTTTCATTAGTAAATCCAATTTGTTATGAGAGTTATTGCTGTTGTTGTCGTTGCTGCTGCTGCTGCTGCTATTGTTGTTGTTGTTGTTGTTGTTGTGTTGTTGCATATAGATTCAAATGGATTGTTGATCATTGTATATAAAATGAAATTATTCATCTCTCTTAATGTATATTTGCATATTCTTAATAGTTTAAAACGAAAATTTACTAATGAATACATAAAAATTTATATTTTGTAAACTTTTGATTAAATTATATTTTGTTTGGTTTTGCCGCCCCGTAACTTCCATTCAACCATTGACATCTGAACGAATGATAGGGAGTGAAATAGTTGAGCGTGTCGATCGCTTCACTTATCTTGAGAGTATGATTTGACCTTGTGACCTACTGTGTGACGAAATCTCAGCACGGATACAGAAGACTTGACTGGATTTTGCCAACTTGCGTCATTTATGGCGTAGGTGAGATATCCATCTATCAACCAAAGGACGGGTTTACTGCGTACCAGTTCATTACGTCCTCATTTATGGCTGTGATACATGGCCGGTAAGAATAGAGAATATTTGTAGATTACTAGTATTCGATCATAGATGTCTTCGGAACATTGCTCGTATATCCTGGTACCACCGAGTATGTAATGTAGTTGTTAGAAAACGGGTACCAGATAAGAATTGCAAATCAATTGATGAAGTAATGGAACTTCATCAGTTGAGATAGATGGGATATGTTTTTCGCATGACTAACCACTGACTGCCCCGACGTGCGATGTTTCATGATGTGTAACAGGTGGACTGAGTCATGTTGGTAGGTGTAGACTACCTGATTGGGATCCGCGAGATGATAGCCACCGATGGTTAGAGACTTTGAATGACATGGCTCAAAATCGTTTGCAATGGTGCAGATGTATCCATTCTGGACTCTTCATGTTCCTTAAGGTATAGTATGGCAACTTGAATTGATGTACATACGTACGAAGTTCTACATTGTTGCTGACTGACCCTCTCCAACATTAGTCAGCTACAACGTAGAACCAGGCACATATATGCATCGGTCCATGTTGTCTCATCCCATTAGCACAACAAGCTGAACACCAAATTCATATAAATGGTTACTTCAATGTTAATAATATATAAAAGAAAGATTATGTGTAAGGATGTAATACAGGAAGTAGGATTTAGTTTGTAATCTTTTGTTATTATACATTTTGGTACAATATAGAATTCTTAGCACGAAATATTTCAACTAGTTTCTTCTACAAAAAAAAGGAATGGGTGATAGAAAAGATCTGAATCTGTACAGCTTTTGAATTAGAGATATGTTTCACTATACAGGTTACTGATTAGGTCAACTTTAACAACCCGTTCGTCACAAAGTATATTTGCTAGATAAGGTATTGTAGAGGTTTTATACCTTTTGCTTGAGGGTATGATTTTTATTGTATTAACATCTCGTTTTACCAGAAGATATACAAGGAGAAAGATATGTATCAAGGGGATGGTTAGTATCTGATAAGATAACACCTAACAGGAGTTTGCAAGACTTTAAATGTTTATCCACAATGACTTCAAAAGATTCACCACACACCTTGTTAACTGCCTTCAGCACTTTCCTCAATACAGCGAAGTGTTATCTCAAAAGCTCGGGGAAGAATAATACGTAATATGCAAGAATTGACAAATTGTACGAGTAAATGTTGAGTAATCTCAAAAGTATGCAGTGTCTTTGTGTAGTAAGTTAGATGGAAAACTTTCTTCGATAACAGTAAAACATTCGAAGACCAAGAGGGATAAGAAGAAATGGTTACACCAAGAAAACTGACCTTCGACACTGTTTATCAAAAAGTCTCCAATGGCGAAAGTATTATGGGATCCCAACAGGGTGTTTAGACGCTGTTCATGTCTCAGGCTAAAGATAACAGCTTGACATTTAGACGGATTAATTATGAAACCATTAACAACAGACCATCACTATTGAATACGAGACAACAACTTAATCAGTTCTATGGAATGTAATGAGGTAGTAATCGGTATACATACAGTGAGATTGTCTACATATTTCACAGTTGTTTTCTATGGACAATGACAGAAAAGAACAGATACATATTATTGTAGGTTCTTGTGGAGATTGCTGAACATTATGTTTCACTTCACGGACTAACTAATGAAAACCCCGAAATCTAAATAACTGAAGTTACAAATGTAAACCATTTAAATTTACATCAGTGTTCTGATTGCGATAAATCCAAATTTCGATAATGTAATAAAAAGAAGACGGAAATTATCAGAACTATATGGTGATTTATATTAGCGCAATACATTTCGAACAATCTGATCACACATTATATACTTGTTATGATCATTTATATATGAAAATAAAAGGTCAACTAGACTGGAAATAGGGTAAGAGGAGATAAGGTTAATAATAAGAGTGAACATAATTTGAAACTTAATCACTCTGGATAGTAAGTCAATATTACCAGGGTAAATTTATGGTAAGAATAAACTGTTTTTGAATACATAAAGAGGGTTTAAATTTTCGTATGGCTAAGGCTTCAATAAACTTTAGTATACGCCCTTTTACACTTTTATACAATACCACAAAAGCCGAGTTTAGATCAATCTTATGCCCTGTTTCAATTATATGTTTAACAATAGAGGATGATGGATGTTTACCACAATTGATTGATCACTGGGTGGCGACCAATGTCATGCGTGTCTAGTCCTTGTTTGTGCAGATCGCATGCTATCGATAATGTTGCCACCAGTCTAGGTGACTCGACACTGCGGTCAATATTGTGAGATTAGATGGTGGTTAGAGGTAGTCGACAGGAAACCCTGCCCTAATAACGACTAGACACACATGACATTGGTCACCACCCAGTAATCAATCAATTGTGATTACATCTTAGTCATACAGGATTTCGGTCGCGGCCCGGATAGCTCAATTGTAACGTCTCTGACTGTGATTATTTTATTTTAACACATAGATATCGGTACAAGAAGGCACCAAATACATATGCGCCACACAGATCTCATTTGATATGTGTGAGAGCTGTGATACTGCTCGGGTGCCTAAACCGAAGCAGGTGGTTTTCTTAGGGGGCCACACCCGGAACCTTTGACCTGAAGATCTGATCCACAAGGCAGTGGAGCATCGTGAGGAGATGCATTCCCATGGTAGCCGGTGACCAACGATTGGTTCATACGCCATTTGTTCCCGCAGGATACTGGAACCCGTGTGCACCATTGATTTGGGATCCGGTTATAGCGCCGGACATTCGCTTTTCGTCCTCTCATTTTCGTTAACAACAGTAATGCCGCGAGAAGGCAGTGAGTAGGACTTCCCTGGCAGGGGCTGTATACGCGTGGCCATGTGAGAGCATTTCGAGAGGGAGAGCGAACTCTCCCCACTCTCGACCGTACCAGGGCATTTGGGGGCTGTGACTGTGAAGCTGGGTGACACGGGATCGAATCCACTAGGGAGAACCGGTTCCCTTAAGATTACAGGTACACCTTGCTGACGAGTGCCAAGTAGCACGAAACCCGGGTCCAGGGTTTCCTGTCGACTATCTCCAACCACCATTTAATGGATGTTTATCCTCTACTCTTATTGGGTCACTTGATTCTATTTGTTTCTGCAGCCATTTGGGTACATGTTCACACACCCTATGTATGTGTGACCATACACACATTTAAATTGATAAACACAGTGGGATGTGACACAATCGTTTTCATGTCTTTTAGGTTTTGGATGAAGCATGCACGTTGTTCTTTCTTTAATAATGATCTTTGCTACGCAATACGTTTTATTGATGACTGATTTAAGTCTTTGTTTCAATAACAGACTATTTGAATCACCTCTAAATAGTAAGGTGATGTACATCACATAGTTCTGATAATCTTCGTCTTCTTATTACAGTATCGAAATTTATCAAAGGGATTAATTGTTTTAAAAAAAATCCAAAGTAAACTGTCAAGTTTTATATACTTTCAAAGATAGACATTTTCTTGACGGTTTATCACTGAATAGAAGGTTATATTTACGTAATTAAAAATTTCCACCACTATAACAATAAGCTAACTGAAACAAATGAAATCTCATATTTTTGGACCATACAGTTGTCTACCTCATTCACTCTGTTTACTTAATGGATCAGTTGAATGATTCTTGAACAGAAACCATTTATAATAAAGGTCTGGAACTTGATTTCTCCACCTTATATTGACATATATTAATCATAATTTAATTTCTCCGGTAACATAGATTACCAGTAAACATTGTTACACTTTCTTCTATCGTCTCTAATTTATGTCTTTCAATGTGAAAATTATATACTTATGAGTTATCTACTTGTTGTTTTATCAGTAGTTGTAATACTTTCTAATAATATTTAATAATTATTGGATATTGTTTTAAATACTGATCAGCTGAATGTAGTTTTGATTATCCATTATGCAAATCACTTGTTTTGTTCATTGAAAGTATCTAAAAGTCTCTGATTACTAGGAATGTGTATTCTGAATTGTTTGAAGTAGTTGGTTATGTGTAGGTCAATCTTTATAGTTTTTGTGCACTAATCTACGCTGTCTAACTCTCTACACAACACCCAACAATTATAGATACGAACCCAGGATCTATAGGTCTAGCGTGCAAACGCTTAATCTCTAGATCACTGAGCCAGTATCCAATGGTGTTAATGTCTAACTTCAACTAATCCATGAAATTGTCCTCAGTGAGTTACTATCTCAACTCCACTGATTACTGCTTCCCACTAGAACTCCATGAAATATCTCTTAAATCGTAAATGTACACTGCTGAGTAGTCCCGCCATAAATAGAACGAGACAGTGGTCCACTGCTTACAGGTTTTCTATGGTGGTCTACTATCAACTTACTCACGATCTCAACTATTGAAAGTACTATAATATACAAAAAACCCCTTCTGATATTAATTGAGTGATTTGCATTATCTTTCATTATCCCGTTTAATAAAATGATTCGTTTAAGCTTAGTTTGCTTAATCTTTCCTAGTTACGTGAATTTGATATCGCTGATAATGATAAACGTATACTTGTTGGGTATGTGATTAGTTAACTTGAAAGTTCTTGTGAGGACAGTCCACAGGTGAAATCAAGGAGTCTCCAAGAAGCTCCAAAAAAGGTGAAGATTTC